AGCCGGGGACAGCCTAAGCTCAGGACGAGACGGCGCACAGCACATTTCAAATCGCAGCTGCAGGTCATTCCCGTCCAGAGCAGGCTTCAAAGAAGCTGAACTAAGGTAGCTGGCTGGATAATGACAACGGGGAGCGATTGAAAGTTCCGTGTCAATGCGTGGATATGATATGACCGACGGGAGTAGAGCCATCCGAACTGTACTATTTACGAGCTGGCTGGCCACAAAGAAAGCACGCCAGCGACAGTCTAGACCGGGTGGCCTCAGCTCAATTCGACTCGACTCAGCTGTCGTTGAAGGAACGCTACTTGAGGTTATTTGATATCTGTCTCAGTAGCTCATCGTGTAAAAGTGGAAATTTCCAGGAACGCAATCGTTAATGGGAGTGCTGCGGTGTTGGGAATGCCACATCACGCCTGCGAGAGAGACACGCTCGAGAGGGGGTGGCGGGAATGGACAAGACGTCAAGAGACTCCAAGTTCCAGTCGAGCCCGTCACTGAGGTTTGGGTTAGTGGGGGGGGGTGTAGTGGTGAGGGTTTAGGCAGTGATCTGCAGATTGGTCTTCACGGTTTTGCCGGTATGGACTGCAGGACTTCAGAAAGATGCCACTCGGCAGATCACAAGACCCCATAATCCCCAGGTTTTCCGTAGCAATTTACACGCGGAAAGAGTAAAGATCAGTGATGGGAGACGGAAGTCGCAGCGGCGTAGTGGCGGCGGCGGCGACGGGATTTGTGTGCCTTGTGGGGTTACGATGACACGGGTTGGAGGTGCCACCAAGTACTGGAAGATTCCTGTATGGAGTGGCGGCGTAGTGGGGCTGGCGGGCGCTTACGTCGGTGTTGGACTCGGCTGTTCGGCGCCAGGAGAAAAAGCTTGGAAAGGGTCCAGTGACGGAAAGCCGCGAGCAGCCCTTTCCCAGAAATAGTTGAGGAAAAGTGCTGAACAAGAGCAGAGAGATCGGAGGCCGCGTAACGCGGAATGCTGTCTGTGGCTGGTTCGAGCCTCTCCAGCGAAAGTGGAACACTTACAGAGCGAATCACGGCTCGGGTTATCATTCTCCACTCAATGTGTGGCGCGGGGATACGCTGCGGCCAATCACGGGCAAGACGCGCAAACCTCCCCTTGCCCCACCCAGCGCCGGGTTCCCTCCCGTCTTGTTCAGGTCGTCAGGGTCTTCTGGTGGGAAAGTCCCCACCGTGGGCGCCACATCGCCATCGCCGCAGCTTTCTTCCGTCCTTCAACACCCTCATATGTCCAAATGAGGTATGGGCGCAGGGGGCAGGGATGCCTACGAATGATTTCAGCAAAGAGCCCTTTCCAGCTGAGGCAAGAAGGCGCAGAAGGGTGCTATTGAGTGGAGGCCGGCAACAGTGACCCGTGGAGCAACGATAGTGAAGGCTATTGCTCTTTTGATGGCGTCCGCGGGCCAACACACCTCTCTGGAGTACCAAGATCGTAGGGCCTCAAATACGGATAAAGGCGCACGATCTCTACATACTTGGTAGGGGACTGCTCACCACCATTTGCATCTACAATGTAGCACCGATACAGCTCATGGCCCGTGTGTAGGGAAGAGGCATGGAAGCGGTAAATGAGGAGTTCAAACTAAGCATAGTTGGATTTAAAGTGCGGTCTCCTCTGCGACGCTGCGCGTTGGGCTGAGCCGGGGTAGCCTTGCGTCGCCTGCCAAGCTCGGCGCCAGGAGCTAGTACAAACGTGGACGGTTGAGGCTTGGGGCCCCTCGACGACTTGTCAAAGTCTCGTTAGTATGGCTGTCTGCCGTTTGCCGGGTGCCGTCAGCAACAAGTCACAAGGAACCTTTCTTCTAGCTGGTCTCGCGATGTTGCTTTGCAGTAGTGGTAGTCAGTCGTCAACCCTGGGGGCCAGTGAGGGAGCCGGCAAACGAGACACTCGAGCCATCGGGTGAGGCCTAACCATGAGGTTTGATTGGCATCGCTGGATCATCGGAACGCTAAAAGATGTGGGAAACGAGGTGATGATTGACCCGGATACTCTCGGTTGCGGTGTATCAAGCATTAAGACGGGGGGGGGGGTCCTTTGGGTTACCTTAAAATTCAACGCCTTATGGACTCTCCGTCTCATCGCAACTATTTTGCCAGGTTTTTGGCGTTACACGAGTAGTGAGTCCCCAACGCCAGTCGTGGCAGTTTGGCTGGGGCCAGTAGGAAGAGATCCTTTTTTTTTTTTCGCCTCTTGCGCCCTGCAGGCTGGGGTTCTCATGAGTCGATACCCCTGGCAATTGTCAGAGCTTGGTGGACGGCAAGGACACGGGCGACAGCTAAAAAGAATCACCAACTAAAAAAACCGTCGCAGATGTTTGCCGGCCACCTGCCATATTGCGATGTGATGGGGATCGATGTTTTGGGGCAGCGACTACGACGTGCTAAACGGCGTTAAACCCTGGGAGTCTTTTCCCGCCTGGGTAAGGCGCGGCTGGGTACCTCTCCAAGCCCGTGGACGGATATGACCGACCGTCCGGGAACACCTGGCGGGGGCCCGCCCCTCTGAGATGCTACGCCGGTGATCAGTTCGGTCACTGGTGTCAATCACTGGTCAACACCACGGCAGTCGCAGTACTGACCAAAGTGAATGACAGGCTGACCTCACCGGTCGCGGCGTTGTGTTGGTGAGGGCGGGCCATAGCAGTCCACGATATAACAACGAGGATGCCACCTGCCCGCATCCGCGTGGTTCACACAGTCCACGGTTCGCAGGAAAGAAGGACCTTGGCCACACCTGCACCTTCATTACCTTGAATGTCATCACTCCTCCCCACCTTTCAACATAACGAACGGCACGTCAACGCAAATCGTAACATTTCGACTCAATCCCCGTCGCCAAACTTGAAAACACTTTCCTGCCCCCATCTTCCCCTCGGAAAGACCTCGACTCAACATCCCACAACATCCAGCCTTTTTTACATACTCTCGAACCTTGCAACCTACGATCCCCTTCCACATCCCATCCCCGCAAAGCCGTTTCAGCTCCGACTTTCGACGACAACAACTTGGGCCAAGAACAAATCCTCTGTTCCTACTCAGTGTCTATTTCCTTTCTTTTTGAGCTTCTCACACGGCACAATCCCAGCTTGTCCCCTACCGCGCGCTTGTTCAGTGGAGACCACTTGGGACCCCTCGACATCTTCGTCATTCTGGTTCTGCCATTCGCCGCCAAGTCCATCAAATCGTCCGCCCAGAACATACAACAGTCCACAGACAGCGGCAGAGCGCCTGGTTAACACGGATTCTACTCTCCGTCCCGCTGCACCGTCTGCCCAGACTCCCCGCCGTCCTACCGCTCGCCCAAGACAGGATTCCTCAAGAGGGTTCCACCGCTGACGCTCTGGCTCCCAACCGAGCGGAATACCGGCACGAATCGTACCAATAGCCTTTGTCGCCCAAGGTAAGCCATGTCATTTCCCATGTCTACCATGTCTCTCTTGTCCGTCCCCGAGCACCAAGCACCAAGCATCAATCTCCTCTTTTCTTCACTTTCTTCAACCCACTCAGTCCCTCTCTCACTCGCTCGAAACCCTTGTCCTCCACTCATCATTCCACGATGCTTCAGAGAGGAAACAGTCCTCCGCCGCCGGGACACCCGTGCTCTCTCCCAGAACGGAGGCTCCCCCGCCCTCAAGTCACGCTACATTTCCTCTTCACTTGTCATTTCTTTTCTTTTGGGACTCTTCTCGGGAACTTTCCATGAAAGCCAGAGAGTGGTGTGGCACCATCAAACTTTGGAACATGACACAGCCAAACACCAATCGTCATGAATTCTGTGTGCGCATTGCATGCCCGAGTCCCTCATGCAGGTCGTCCCAGGCTGCTGCCGCTGCTGCTAGCTGCAAGTTGCTGCTTAGGCTTTCTGCAGAGAAAGCAAACCAGCAGCAAAAGTATCCGTCCAAACTTCACCGCTTGTGTGTCTCTGAGCGAGCTTAGTGCTCCAGCTTCTGCGTTTCCTACTGTATACTCTGCTGCATGCCCTCGAACATCTGTTGGCCCTTCCCCGCCTCCCGTGCCGGACTTCCATTCCCACCCCAGTCACTCGCTGACATTGCGGTGCTGTGCTGTGGCCCAGTCATCTCGTCGTTGCTGCGCTCGACTTTGCCTATGCAAGCGGAAGGCCGAGCCCGAGCGAGCGAGCAGCGCAGCACCCAGCGATGGAGCGGGAACGAACAAGAAATACAACGCAACCTAAGTCAGTCCATCCTCACTTCGGGCCGGGTCTTGGAGCGTCCATTCCCCGCCGTGCACAGGAAAACCAAAAGGCGGAACGACGGCTAAGTGTTTCCAAATGCGGCAAAACAAGCAGAGCCAAAAAGCATAGGCCACTGGCCACTCTTCTTCTGACTGCAACCTGCTCTAAATACCGTCTCCATTCCACCCCCCCTCATGATCCCCGTTTCCGCGGCTAGTTGTAACGAGAAAAGAGTATCCAGAGGGGAATACCAGTGCGGAGTCTCGCCTTCTCATTTGCTCATAACTGCTGCTGCTCTCGTCTCGTTCCTGGGCTTGCCGGTCTCATTACCTGGTCTCCTCTTACTCGGGAGGGGACTCGTAATTGCCCAAGACGCTAAAGGATCAAACGGCAACCTCGTCACCGAACTGCACCAGCAAAGAAACCCCGACGGCGTCTCGCCCTGTTCTATTTTCCTCCGACCTCTTCTACCCATCCGACTTTCTTTGTCCTTACCACCTATCCAAATTCCAGTTATTCTCCAACAGCCTTCAACCTACCCACAACAAAGGGAGCAGCCTCCCTCTGTACATTTGCGTTCTATTTGCCCCCCGGTCTCCTACCCGTCTTATTTATCACCATCCGCCGACGCTATTCCATTGAATACCGGCCCCAAAAATTCCCCGCTGCGACCGCAACCTGACCTCTCCCACCACACCATTCCCGTCGATCTTTCTACCACTGAGTTCCCCCACAATAAACTAAGATCGTATCTCTTCTTCGCGCAGAGCCTCAAACAATGAACAACACACCACGAAGCCCGTCGACCAAGAGTCAGGCTAGTCTTCGGGACACTGGCTTCCCTGAGCCGTTTAACGGAGGTGAGTTTTTCGGATATCGCTGAAAAGAAAAAGAGAAAACGAAATACTGACAAACTGTAGAACGCAATACCACGCTGCCGCATCCTGATGCCAACCTGTCTCCCAACGCTGTCATCTCGCAAGAGGACCTCAGTGGAAACCGATCTCGTACACGACGTTCATTCTTGCAAAAGCACAGGCGCACCATCAGTCACGGACGCATCACCCCGCAAATGGAGGCAATCTACAGCAGCGAGGCCCTGGCCGAAGCCGAAGCCGCCATCCTCGACGCAGACGTCCCGTCCAACATGAGCCAGTCTAGTCTGCCTGCCGCGAGACGAATCAGCAAGGATAGCACCGAGAGCTTCCTCTCCCACAGCGGCGGCAATCTCTCACCCGTGACCTCAGTTCAGGCTAGCGGACGGAAAGAGAGCCTGCTGAAGAGGCTCGGCTTTCTCAAGCCGTAGAGTTACAACCTCTCTCATATGATATTGAGGAATTACGAGACGAGGCGGCGAACTATCGACCCGATGTACCGCGCACGATGAAACGGCCGAAAAGAAGAATTTGTAAAACAGACACACCACAGCGCAAGCGCGGAGTTTTCTTTTGACTCGCAACACGGGGTTGGGCACAACCAGGGCGGGCTTGGGATTTTGATTTTGGGAATGGGATTGGAACTTGGAGCAAAGGAAAGGATGGCACAACAAAACCACGTCATCATCATGGAGGATTCTTGTCCTCGGAGTTATCATCATCGTCAAAGTCGGACCTGACGGCTGGAAGACGTACATCACAAGAGGGACAGTAACCTGAGACGGTGAACAGACTATCGTTAAATGGCAGTCGTAGTAATCCTATCATTCAGTTGCAAGATTCTTGCAAAGTAGTTGTATGGTCTTTATTCCTTTTCTGTTATCGTGATTCTTGACACCTCTGAGTGACTCTGATTCTCCGTCGGGGTTCCTACCGCCTTGAGCCTGTTCCAAGCCCAACTTCAAAAATCACGAATTCACGGACCCGTGAACCCGCAGATCAGAACCAAACCCTCTCCCTGCAGGGTTCAGGATCAGAGAGAACAGATATCGCGCAGGGACTTCTTTTCTACTTGCCATCTACGTGAGGCCACGTCCTCGACAGCTCTACTCACGCTATACCATGCTAGTTTTTTGACAGCTTAGTTTAGCTACCCCGGTACGTGGTATAGCTGTACGGGCTGAGCAGCAGCGGGACGTGATAATGCTGGCCCCGCTTGACGGTGAAGACGACGACGGCCTCGGGGAAGAAGGTCTCGTCCTCGCCGCCAAAGTACGACGCCGTGTCGAACGTGAGGGTCCAGCGGGACGACGTCGTGGCGGTGGCAGCGGCCTCGATCTCGCCGAGGACGTCGTCGAGGGTGTAGACGGGGACCTCGCCGGAGGATGTGGCGGAGGAGAAGGGGAGCCAGGACTTGACGCGGCCGTCTTCGTCTGTGGTGGATTCGAATTCTTTGAGGACGCCGGCGGCTGGCGCGGCGGCGTTGGGGGAGCCGGTCCCTGCGGTTGTGGCGGGAGGGGGGATGGTGGTGGAGAGTTGGACGCGGACGTTGCGGGCTGGGCGGCCTGCTGAGGTGTCGAGGACGTGGCAGGTTATGCGGTCTTTTGTCGGGGAGGCCATTTTGGGGGGTTGTGCGGCTGTTGTAGTGGTGTTGGTGGTGGTTTGTGTTGATTGAGGGTAGATTTTGCTTCGTAGGGGCATGGGAGGTTTTAGGGGTATCAGGTTGGGTTCAAGGCTGTGGTTTGGGTTGAGTGAGTGTGAGATGGTGGTGAGAGGTGAGGCGAGGCGAGGTGAGGTGAGGTGTGGTGAGGCTCTCTGATTTGGTGATGCGCTGGATGGCGGGGTAATTTTTGGTTGTCTGCCTGCCTGCCTGCCTGCTTGCCTGCCTGTTCGCCTGCGTGTAAGGCGGAATTTGCTTGGCGGGGTTCCTTCCGGTCCCCGGGGGGTACCTGCCTGTTTGAAGTGGGGCGTTTTTCTTTTTTTTGTACGCTTTTGCGTTTGAGGGACGGTTTACAGATGCTGGTTTGCAAAGTCGATACAGAAGATAGTACAGAGAGTGTGTTGCAGAGGAAAGATGCTGCCGTCCTTTGGTTCAAAAAAGGGCAAAGGTAATTGAGGAAAAGAATCGGTGGTTTTTTTCTTCGTCTGTCCTGATGTATGAGGGTTTCGGGGGACCGAAGTCGGATTTGGGTGGTATCGCAAGGCGCCGTGATGCGATGGGGGCGGTCCAAATGCGGGACCCACAAATCTAATGGTAAGGTAAGGTAGGTACACGGAGATGGCCCCGGGGGTTTTGGAACTTGGTACCAGTAGGTATGTTTGTGTGTGTCTGCAATTGCTAGGTGCTTTGGGCTAAATAAGTCTCGGGAAAACCTGGAAACGGGTATTGAAATCACTCTCGCAATGAGGATGATTTGAGATGGTGGGAAAATGGAAATCAAGGACATGCGAGTCTCCCGACGCAAGGTCAAGTTGAGCTAACCCAAGCTGCTGTGAGCTGACCTCCAAAAAAACGCCTCTAATCAGATGCACCCGAGAGACGGAAGACTCCTGCCAAATCCCTAGAAAGCCGGAAATTCACAAATGAAGGTATGAAACAGAGACTTGGAGATATAGAAGCCGAAATGCGCTTCCCGTGACCGTTTCGTTCGGGAGTTCCTTGCTGGTTATCACGTCATCAACCAACATCCAGTTGCATCGCATTTGGAATGACATTGGCATGGGAGGCACTGTTCTGGAAAACTGCATCTTTCGTCGAAAGAGGTTAGATTTCTCAGAGGTGCCTCACAAGCGACAGAGTTTGGAAACCCACGAAAATTACATCCTGAATGTCTCTCTGGTAAATAAATAATGTCCGTGGTTTACGGCAACGCATCCGCGTGAAGGTGGAAGGATGAAGGGGCACAGACGAATCCTCCGGCACATGCCGGGGATGACGGGAGGCCCCGGCGGGGGACCTGAAGGGCGGCCCTGAAGGGGTCTGGGCTTCTGTCACGGTACCTCCAGCCACGCTAACTCGGACAGAGTACCTACGTCGTTGGTCCGTGCATATCCATCGACACAGATAGAGTCTAATCCTGCTTTTCACAGTAACCTTGTCTTCTCGAGACCAATCAGATATTCCACAATTGACGGCAGACGGTGGTGATGAGCAGGATATCTCATCCATGTGCTGAATACCAAGACGCCAACAGCGAACAGACTAGCATCCAAGGAGGAGCCAAGGAAAGGCCAAGAGGCCAAGAAGCCAAGAAGAAGCCAGGGGGCAAGGCCAAGCCGCATTGTAGAGGATTCAAACTCTGTAATGTACCTCATGGACCAACACGTAATAGTACGGAATCCGTCTCGAAAGAGTTTCGTACCAATGCGACGGTTCAGCAACCAATTATATAGGACGGCCCAGACCTCTGCAGAACGAACGCCGCCTCGTCGATTCTCTCACCTACGGACTAAGGCTATACTCTGAGGCTTCTTGTTAGACCCAAGGCCCATTGCTGTTCCAAGCATAGGCTCACTCCTATCCCAAGCCGGGCATCGTGACTTGTTGAACCCCAGGCCCTCAGCCAAAACTGTACATGATGGAATTTTTCTCAAGAGACGCTGGAGTGAGAATGGTCCTTTCGATCAGTCACCAAAACAAAAGCCAGGGGGGGGGGGTCTTGGTTCTTAGTACTCTGTGCTGTACACCACATTCCCATACACCCGTGCCAAAAAACACCAAGAAGCTTGGCTCGTCCCGGCTGACGTACGACAACGCGATCCACCACCACACCAACCAGCGCGCAACCTCGCGAACAAAACGAGGAATAGTCACCGCCAAGCAGGCCAAGTGTAGAATGAGCGCAACACGCATCTTAGCCCGTTCCCGTAGCCAAAACACTTAACCCCCCAAAAACCTGTTAGCAGTCATACGGAAAATGAAAAACATCATGCACCTCCGCCATTTGCTCCAAGTCAACGTTCCTGTTCTCTCTTCATATATACAAATGTATCCATACTCTGTCCGATAACCACGACTTGAAAGGATACAGAGGGAGAGAAACAAAAGGCAGTAGAAGAGGGTAATCGAACAAAAAAAGGGCCTTCATGGCTACGATTACAGACCACCCCGTGACGAACCCCGAAGAGGGAGTCAAATACCTGACCACAGACGAAATCAGCTCGTTCCTCGACGACCTCGACCACAACGACGACGGCTACATCGACTACGCCGAAGTCGAGGCGAAACTCGACGCCGCCCACGACGCGCTCGCGCCCAGCAGCCAGGTCCGACCTCACCACATCATCAAGAAGAAGCAAGACTCCTCTCCTCCGGAGACACAGCAGCAGAAACAACAATCCTCCTCCTCCTTTCCCTCATCAAAAGACCAAAACCGCCTCCGCCATTATTTCCTCCGCTCCATAATGGGCCTCCCCGGCTCCGACCCAGGCACGCAATCCGACCCGGCCGCCGACGAACGAAGCCGCTCCCACCGCATCCCCCGCGCCGCCTTCGCCGCCCGCGTCCGGGACTGGAAGATCCCCTCCCTCCAACAAGACGCCGACTCGGAGGAGTCACAGCGCGCCTTCGTCCACAAGCTCCGCCTCTCACGCCGCCTCCGCGCCTACTGGGCCGTCCACGGTCCCGAAATCGCCTTCCTCGCCCTCGTCGCCGGCCTCGTCCTCGCTTTCGGCGTCTGGCAGTGCGTCAAATACGTCACGCGCCACCCTTACCGCGCCGCCTTTGGCTGGGGCGTCGTCATGGCCAAGACGTGCGCCGGCATGCTCTACCCGACCTTCTTCTTCCTCCTCCTCAGCATGTCGCGCTACGTCTCCACGCTGCTCCGGCGCTCCTATCGCGTCTCCCGCTTCGTCAACTGGGACCTGAGCCAGGCCTTTCACGTCAAGATCTCGTGCATCGCGCTGGCGCTCGCCACGCTGCACGCCGTGGGCCACCTGACGGGCTCCTTTTACCACGGAAGCCGCCCGGAGCACCAGGACGCCGTGGCCGAGGCCCTGGGCCCGGATGCGGTCCCGAGGCCCTACGTCGAGTACGTCCGCTCGCTGCCCGGCTTCACGGGCCTCACGGCGCTGGGCCTCTTCTACGTCCTCGCGCTGCTCAGCATGCCGGCGGTGAGGCGGTGGAACTACGAGGTCTTTCAGCTCGCGCATCTCCTCATGTACCCCATCATCGGCCTCATGATGGCCCACGGCACCGCGGCCCTACTGCAGTGGCCCATGTTTGGCTACTTCCTCGCTCTCCCGACGCTGCTCATCCTCGTCGAGCGCGCCGTCCGTGTCGGTACAGGGTTCCACAAGATCAGGGCGACGCTGAGGATTCTCGACGGCGAGACGGTCGAGATCGCGGCCACCATCCCCAGCGAGCGCATGTGGAAGTACCGCGCCGGACAGTACGTGTTCCTGCAGGTGCCCGCCATCAGCGCCTTCCAGTGGCACCCGTTCACCGTCTCCATCTGCAAGGGGCGGGAATTCCGGCTGCACATCAAGACGGACGGGAACTGGACGAAGCGGCTCCGTGATTTGGGCGGGGAGGGCAAGGGGGAGGGGGCCGATGCCGCAACGGAGATCGATGTGGGCGTCAACGGGCCCTTTGGCGCGCCGGCCCAGCGGTTCTACGACTTCCACCACACCATCATTGTGGGTTCCGGGATCGGCGTCACGCCCTTCTCGGGTATCCTCGCGGACCTGCAGGCGCGTGACGACGAGGAGCACGGGGGACCGACGCATTCGCTTCATCAATCTCACCACCAAAACCGTCACGACTCGGAGACGACCGTCGTGACGGAGAAGAAGGAGGCCGACGAACGAAAGGACTCGGAGGCGACGGCGGCGGCGACGGCGGCGACAGAGGCCCCGGACGGAAACGACCCCACGAAACCGCCCAACCCGTCAGAAGCCTTCACCTTTGCGCCCGACTACCGCCGCGTGGACTTCCACTGGACGGTCCGCGACCGCAACTACCTCCTCTGGATCGCCGACCTCCTCAACTCGGTCTCGCGAAGCCAGGACTGGCACCGCCACCACGAGGGCCCCTCCCAGCACCTCGACATCCGCATCGCCACGCACGTCACCCAGAAGCGCCGGGACATTGTCACGCACGTGTACCGCTGGCTGCTCGAGATGCACCGCACCAGAGAGCACCCAGAGAGCCCGTTGACGGGCCTGCTGAACCCGACGCACTTTGGAAGGCCCGACTTTGACGCCATACTGGACAGGCACTATGAGGATATGCGCAAGTTCCGGGCCAGCAAGAGGAGCCATGCAAACGCCGGCGGCGGGGCCACAGCCGGCAGCATAGTCGTCAAGAGAGGAGGAGGAGGAGGAGGAGAAGTCAGCAACGGCGGCAGTGCCCGTGCCAGGGACGCTAGAGCCGACGGCCGCGGTAGTACCCGAAGCGCTAGCGGCGAGCGGTGGGACGTGGAGGAGGACGAGGACGAGGACGAGGAGCTAAAGGTCGGAGTCTTTTACTGCGGAGCACCGGTGGTCGGGGAGATCCTGGCAGACAAGTGCCGGCAGCTCACGGTGCGGGGGCGGCACGACGGCAGCAAGATTGAGTACCACTTCATGATTGAAGTCTTTGGGTAAACCGTAATGTCCGCAATCTGTAGCTGTCAAATGAGCTTGGCTTTCTGCCCGATGCTTGGACAAGGGGCAAGGGGGCATCCAGAGAGAGTTCGTCGGCCGCGTTGGCGCGCCGGTGTTACTTTTGTTGGTCTGAATCGGGTTCTGAGTAAGACCAAATAAACAAGATAAGCAGGAGGAACAACACAACCGCAAAGCACCAACCGCGTGAGAAGCGTTTCCGAGTTGGGGGATCCCCTTACCACAAGTTCTGTCTCCTCGAAAGGCTGACGTGGATGGGCGACGAAACCTATTCAGGCAGGTCACGAGTTTATTGTATGGGACAAGTAGCGTTCCTGGTTCCACTACATTGCCTTTCTGTCGTCGTCGTCGCCATCGTCGCCATCGTCGTCGTCGAACTTGTCGTGCAGAACGTGCACGCGCACGCGGCCGTCGGAACTCTCGCCCTGCGTGAACGAGGATATTGAGTCGGGTTCAGGCCGTCTCAAGGGACGGACGCGCGCCATCGTCTAGGTATCTGTCGTAGGGAAAACTAGCAGGAACCTCGCAGGAACACGTTGTCTCCCCGCGCCGGGCCCCTTTCTCCTCTCTTTCTCTCTCTCCTTTTCTCCAGCCATCATCCCTTGTTGCAAATCCAGTTCGGCTTTCTGTGCCGATGGGTCTAGGAACCTGGAATCGCTCTCTTTTTTTTGTGCTGCAAATTGTTTCTGGTTGGCCAGTTTAATTTCTCCGACGAGTCCTAGAACATGGATTCCAGGGGTTTGGATACCCATTCATTATGTGTGCTGCGCGACTCGCTCGTCCTCCGGTTCCCACTTGACACATGTCTTGTCTTGGTCTCGCCTTCACACGCCTGGTCTTCTCTTCCCTACTCTGCATCCTCGGCCTTTTCCCCCACCCTACCATGCTCCAAATCCAACCTTTTGTGTGTGACTATGTGCCTTGTCCCGATGCAGTGTTACACTGTCAGTGTTGGACCTTTTCCCCTAGGGCCTAGCGTGCCAAGGGATATGGGGAGAGGGGGGCACTACTGTGACAAGCAGAGGAGACAACATGAGGGAGGCCGGGAGCCATGAGAAATGTTGCGGGGACGTCGATCACGGGTATCAAGTAACTGCACCATGCAGCAGACGGAAGCACGCTCAAGCTTTCGACAGAAAAAGGCCCTGCAGATTCAACAACGGAGAGGAAAATCTGGCCGTACTTGGCTTTTCCTCCGTATGCCAGACGCCATTTGCCCAGAACGGGGCCCATGTCGCCGACACGGTCGCGAGCGACGGTAACAGATGCCGCTGCCACTTTTCCATCGTTCACCTCACACGCCCCCCCCTCCCGTCGCCACTAGTGCAGGCGAACGGCATGAGAGACAGTGAGAAAAGCCCAAGGACGACGACGAATGGATGACACACAGAGTTTTCCAGACGACAACAGACTCCGCCAGGACGCTCGAGATGAATTTTTGAGAACAAGCCAACCAATGCTTGATCCGGCTACGAGATGACGAAGCCACGAGATGACGAGGCCAACAAGATGACGAAACCCGTTGAAGCTCATCTAGTCAATTCCGGCCCAAAGACCATCTGCAGCCGCGATGGACCCTTTTTTCGACGCTCCGGTCCAAGCCATCAGAGCGATGAGAAAGGAAAGTACCGGACCAAAAGGGTTCGTATATACGAGGCGCCCTTTTTGCACAGCATTCTATTCGAAAAACTGTAAATTGCAGGTTGAGTTTTCGAGGTATCGACTCGAGACTTCAACACACCGTCCTGCATTGAGCCGCAATCGCCAAGATGTCTTTGCTGATCTACACTGGGCTAGTCAGTTGATCTGGAATGGCGCGAGAATGACCTGGTAGCGCAGGCGGGATGTGCGTTTGGATCTGCTCGTTCTGTTACATCGCGCCCTCGTCCTCTTGGCACACTCGATTGACATTCTGCTGCCAGGGCTTGGTCTCTGCAAGGTTTTGAATTGGGACATAGGCTCGTAGGCTCGCAGGGCCTGTCGTCCAAAAATGGACTTTTTTGATTTCTGGGGCTGGTGTTGAGTGGTTGGCATCGTACGGCCGCGGATTCCTTGCCTCTCGCCTCCATCCCTTCCCTCCCTACCCAACCAAGCTGACCACTCACCGAACACCCGTAGACACGAATTAGTCCTAATCTTGGGGCGACACCATGGGGCCGAGACCACCCAGGACGGGTTAATCCTGGCTTTCTCCATAGTTTGGTAGCGCTGTCGATCGATCAGTAGTGTTTCGTCGCGTCCGGGCTGGGGTGTCTGAAACGGGTAATGCGTGGACGCTGGGATGGACGTTGGAGAGATGGTTGGGGTGTGCCAAAACATGCCGTTTGAGCCGCATCTGAGGCACTAGAGGCGCTAATGGGGCAGGATATCGTAGCAATGGCGGCATGTAGATGCCGCATCCTCCAGGTGCCCCGGGGAATTCTTCTGCTATTCGAAAACATCGTTCATGGGAAAAAAAAGTCCGTGATGTTTCTTACGACGCCCATTAGCGCCCTCCCACTTTCCGAGGAGGGGGGGGGACACGTCAGGTTTATAGCGTGTAACAACTGTGAATGTCAATGATCACAGATTTTGTAACACAGGATTGAGGCTCAAACAAGGAAAATCTGGCCTGTCGACGGCAGGTGCTGCCGCGAGGTCAAACAGAAGAATACGCCAGAGAAACGGCGCTCGAGCCATGACCGCCAGCAACACCACGCCATGGGATATCCAGGTTAGCGAGCAGGACTTTTGACATTTGGGTTTTTTTCTTGCTTTCGCCATCCCATTCGGACCATGCGCTTACTGTAGAAAGAGTAGGGAGCGAGAGAGAGCGAATCCGGGAGTGAGTGGGCACAGCCGGCCAGGCACTACGTAGCGGAAGAGGGGGTTGAGACATGCCATCTGAAGGACGATTCGTTGGACGGGCGAGCGACTACTCTGGTGTCCAGAGTGCGTTTGGTATGTCGGTTTCGTGCGAGTGCCGTAAAAGGGAGGGGACGCTGGAGATGGGATGAGTATCCACGGACGCTTGCGAGCCGGCAGGGGTCGGTGGATTGGAGTCTGCGAGGGGTGTAGGAGAGGGTTTGGTATAAGACTTGGCCACGTCTTCCCATACGACCGCTTTCACATCGGTTCTGTTACCTGCGGTCATCTCATCCTCCCGATCCCTTCACTTCTTCACACTCGCCTTTCTTTATTGCGGCCGGACCGCCCTTTTTTCAACATCTCCAACACATCACCGTTCCATTCCATCAGCCGTCAATATGCAGCTTTCATTCCTCCTCGTGCCCCTCCTGTCTATCACGGCCCTGGCAGCCAAGGACCACCATGAGGCTGGCGGCAAGAACTCGACAGAAGCCCAGTGCAAGCGCTTCCTGAAGGGTGAGAAGTTGGTCAAGATTGCCGGCAACGATACCCTCCTCGCCGAGATCACTCACAACAACGCCACAAAGATCGACTTCATCAAGAAGAAGGCCGCCGAGGTCCAACCCAAGCTCGACGAGGCCAAGAAGAATTCCACCTTGATGACGACTTGCGACCAGATCCGCGCTGTTCAGCAGGAGAACGGACAGTGCCGCTTCATGAAGCGCATGGACAAGCTGGAGAAGCTGGTTGCCAACGAAACCGCCCTGAACGCCGTCACCAAGAACAACGCTACAAAGGCCGACAAGCTCAAGCAATTCGCCCAGAAGGGCCAGGCTAAGCTCACTGACCTGCAGAAGAACACGACGCTCCTTCAGTACTGCTCCATGCAGACTACCAAGGGAGAGTGCAGGCAGATGAACAGATTGAAGTCAGTGATCCCTCCTAGTCAGAGCCTGGCGTACAATAGACTAATAAACATCGACGCTATAGCAAGCTTGTCGCTCTTTCCAAGAACGATACCGCCCTGAACGACAAGTTCAAGGGCAACACGACCCAGATCGAGAAGTTCAAGGCCAAGGCTGCCAAGGAGGAGGTCAAGCTCAATGCCATGATGAACAACTCAACGCTCATGGGCGTCTGCCAGCAGCTCAAGGCTGGCAAGGGTGGCAAGAACGGATCCAACAACAGCCAGAACGGTATTGACAGCGGCGCCGCCGGTGTCAGAGCCGCCGGGGCCCTCAGTGTCGCTGCTGTTGTGAGCGTCGTCATCGGCCTGATGATGTAAAATATTCGTTCGGTATGAGTTGGAGGAACTTGTTTGCAGGGAATATGTTTGGCCGTCGGTCTCGAGAAACAACGCGGGGAAGGCTGACGCTAGTTGCCACGACCTTGATGCATGCGGGCGTATTGTACAAAACCGCCGTCGATTAGCTGGGGATACATCTTAGTGTTTCACTCATTCGGATGGCTCGACGTGGACCTGACTAAGTCAGTCTGACGTTAGATGGGCTCCAAGCTATGATTATATTCATAGGTAATGAGTGACTCAAGGTAATGTGTTGGTAGAGCAAAGAGAAAATTGGAAAGTTACAGTCGTTACCAGGTTGTTGAGTTGTGACCAATGTGTGAATTTTCCAGTCTCAGTCCACGGTTATTGATTTCCAAAGACTTCCGTTTCAAATCAGATTTTTAAAAAAGCTTCTATGTGAATAAGAGAAAGTCTGTGATAAGTCCCTTGAGTTGAAGTATCTTGGGTTTGCTGACCCAATGGGATGGCGGTCCACAAGAAGAGCACTCTATGGATTGATGAGACACCAAAATGCCCTGGACTGCCGTCAGTTGCTATCCACCCATAATGGCTGCGGAAAAGATGAGCTCAGGTTCTCACTGACTTTGCAAATAAACTTGAAAAAAGAAAAATGGATGCTCAAGCTTCAGGCGAGCGATATGACGAGCTGTGACGGAAAGATTCTAATGGCATCTCAGAATTGAGGAGAATGAACACCTACCCCAATTAGTCGATGCCTCCAATCCCTTGTTTGATCTGCAACTTACCTGTGCAATGGTTTGGCCCCATGGAAATACTCCAAATAGCCTAGACTCTTTCCCTTCCCTCGCCGGAAAGTGAGGGACAATGTGCTCTAAATATCGAAGAAGTCGCTAGGCACATCTAGGAGACCATTGTCGATGTCTGTACCGCACGTGACTGTCGCCAACCTCTTTCGCAGCTCACGGTGGAAAGCTGCTTTCTCACCAGAAGTCCAAGACACGATTGGACACCACCGAGTAGAGGCTCGAGCTTGACGTCCTCGGCGATTGCAGATTCGGCCGCCTCTGACTCTTGGTCTAGTGTTGTTGGAGGTTCGGGTCTTCCTGCCGTGCGAGACTCTCTTTGGCGACGGCGTACCAAGAATCTTGCCGTTTTGATTATGCCTACGAGATTCCGCTTCACAAACCACACCTTCATTGAAAGCACGCGCTGCGGTGGAGTGTCCACGCGGAAACGGATCAGGAGGACGACAGACATGCTCGTCAGGGACTTCGGCGATGGTTGGTAGGGGAGCCACGGGAGATGCGGTCAACAAACTCCATGCGGGGCTTCGAGCACCCATCGGATAATACTGACGATTCTCAAGAGATGTGTAATCGTCGGAGAGTCGGTAATCGCTTCCATTTACAAGATCAGCCGTAACTGCGGCATGTCCACTTGAGTGTCCCTCGCTTGTGATGCCGTCGCGGTGATGGGCCGAAGGGTGGGCATCAAACGATAAGCTTCGTAGCGTATGGGTATAGTCGCTCAGGCTAGGGGCGGCTGAGCGACGTATAAGCGGCGATGGCGTCACAGGAGGGCACTGCGTGGAGTTGCCCTGTGGTTCCTTCGCTGAAGTCCACAGCTTTGGCGTCGGGGCTGGGGACCGTCGGAACTCGGGAGTGTTGATGGCACCGACAGACATCGAGCTCCAATTTGAGCTTGTGGACCTTGTGGATGAGAAGACAGAAGAAACCTGGGACTTCGGTGAGCTTCCCTGAGCTTGTAGAGGTGTAGATGAGCGATATTGCTCGTCTCGGCAGGTGCCTTCCTTCTCTTTCCCTTGCGGCTGAGCTTGGGCGATCTCTGTGTCAAGCAAATTCTGCTCGACCATCGAGTGGCTAAGGGCCAAGGGAGATCCAATTGTACTAGACATGTTGAACTTGTTGACGGTGTTGCTGGCTGTATCGAGAAGGGTTGTGAGGGCTTCGAAGTATCTAGAGTCTAGTTCGACGGAAGAGAAAGTTGACCGTCTCTCCCACCTGCGTATGAAAGCTTCCGAGAGATTGTCAGTCCGAATATTCCGTCCTCAGAGTGTTGAATGTGTTGGAAAGAAGAAAGGGTATGTGGAGAAAGCCAGAGATTTGCGGGAAAAAGAGGCAGAGGCGTTGGCACTGTTGGTAGTCAGCTCTAGATGCCGATGGAAAGGTGGGTGTTAGAACGAGAGAGGGCTAATGGGCATAACGGAAAAGAGGAAGAGAAGTTCAAGAGGGAAGGAATCAGACTGTGAGACTGCCCGATGAGTCGTCATTCGAGCAAGTTGCTGGACAGCGAAATGACTGAGGAAGGAACAACGACTATGAAGTCTGGCGCGCTTTCCTCGAAGAATTTTACTTCACTGGAGAGGAACTTCCGCGAGAGGTAGATTAAAAGAAGATTTTTGAAGATTTTCATCAGGACTTGTATGGAAATACTCCCGCTATTATTCAGTCTGTCTTCGACAGGTACCCAAGATTAATACCGGCTGACCTAGGTAATCGTAGGTTTTTTTCGATTTGCAAATCTGCGGTTTGCGACTGACATATCAAAGGATGCGGCTAGCTATAGAGAATCGCGTACAGAGCACATTTCGAAACCGAAGTATCTAAGGTAATGGGAATGGAAAACAGAAATGGAGAATCCTCCGTGGCATGGTCCCGAGAACCGTCAGAATGTGCTTACGCGACTCCCCCGATCATCACGACGGAGAGGGAGCCATCATGATGGCGATTTCCGAAGCTGTGCCGCCCAGAATTTCATCGGAAAATCGCTCTCGAAGAAGTCGAGGTCGATTCGTAGGGCGCAAAGGGACTGGAATTGCTTTTGGCGCAAGGTGAGGGGGCACACCCTAGTAGCCTGGGGTGAGTGAAGCCACTCTCGGTGTCCCAATCGGGCAAGTCAGCTTTGTGAATCTAATTTTGTTGAAGGCGGATACGGAAGGATGACTGCCATCCCCTCCTCCAACCGAACCTCAGCCGCTGCGGGCGCATACCAAGGAATCACGCGGCTGCCTGCTCTGCTTCCGCCACCGCAGCTCTCACCTGAATTCGCATTGATAATGAGCTCTTCGCGTGCTCATTCTTCTATCTTGGATGTATAGACCGTGGCTCACCGTTTTATCAACTGCTCATTATACTCTCGTTCATTGCTGTCTAATTAGTCCCGTCCTCTGCGTCTAGCACACCTGGTTCCTCTCGCATCAAGTTGACAACCTTACCTTACAAGAACGGCTTGAGTCTTCAATTGACTGGCATGGAGAAAAATGGAGGATGGCTTGCTGATGGTGACTATGGGGATTTTGTCCGGTCCCTGTGCTTCTCGGACCCTCGACTGAGGCAACGAGACCCCAAGGCCCAAATCCAGCGCATCCCCTTCAAAGACGACGGAGCCCGCGTCGTCAAACTCAGCCTCGGAGAAAACGGCAGCTTTGCCAGGACGGCAGAGTTCGGGGAACCAGCTGATCTGGAAGCACACTTCCGTAGCATGGAATCACAGTGCGGCGGCGGCCGACAGAACATCTACGTCCTCGAAGGCATCGGCCCCGGGTTTGCGGGCGTTCTCGGCGCGCACTTCTCGCTGCACCCTTCGTTCTTCGTCGAGCACGAGCGTGTGGTCGTGCACAATGTCAACTGGATGGGCGAGAGCGACGGCGTGCAACTGCCGTCGGTGATTCAGAGCCGGAGGCACCTCGAGATGAAGTATTACGAGGTCGTGGCATTCGACACGCGGCCGACAAGTTTTCGGTGGGTGTGCGCGGCGACGGGCCGTCATGTAGGGGTATCGAGGGATTTCAAATGGGACAATTCCCCCGACGATTTTGACAGGTTTTTGAATGTCGGCGTTGTGAGGAGGAAATGCAGTGTGTGGTCGAGAAGGACTGAAGGCGGTGGCTGGGACTGTGAGTGTGCAGGCCATACTTGACTGTATCCTTGATGCTGATGACCTCCAGGTCTCGTACTGTGTGATCCTCCGGTCAGGAGCGTCCGCACAGGAGACGAATACAAAATAGAACACCCCGTCAAGACTTGGCCCTACCAAGGCGGCTACCTCGACTTCGTCCCAGAGGAAGAGCAAATTCGCATCGCCAGAGATAAGGGGCGCTGCCGCCGCGGCCCCCCAAGGACCTCCATGCTTGACGATCTCTCTTTCTACCTCGAGACGCACTCGCGGCTGGTAGACGTCGCGGAGCCGGAATCCGTCGTCAACGTCTTTGTCGGGAAGATTGTGGCATCGCACCTGCTCAAGCAGACAGAGCACCTGCGCGCGACCCTGTCGGCGGTGCAGCGGGGCCTCACGCGCAAGCAGGACCTCGCGAAGATGCCAATGACCAAGGTAGAGGCCCTCTGGAGCGACATGCAAGGCTGGGAGCGGCGGACGGGCGAATACCTCGAGGATCTGGAGGGCATCATGCTGCAGCTCGGGATCACGCTGTCGCCTCCCCCGGCCATGACGGGTACCTCTACCGCTGCGCCCATCGGCACGCCACCACAGCTGCAGCAGCCGGTGGGAGGCGCGCTCTTCTCGGCAGGCAACGTCGCCGGGTGGTCGGACTGCGCGACGGATTTCCAGTTCCTGCACCTACGGTTCCGGGAGCTGCGGCACCGTGCTGAGACGCTCAACGCGGCGGTGACAGGGCTGGCGGGTATCACGGGCAACAGGCAGGCGTACAAGGAGCAGCAGCGGAGTATTCGCGAGGCCAAGAGCACCAAGGCGGTGACGCTTCTGGGCCTGGTGTTTATCCCGCTGGCATATACCGCCTCGGTGTTCTCCATTGAGAAGCCGTTTGGGCCCGGGGGCGATTTGTTTTGGGTGTATTTCGTGACGTCAGCGCCGTTGATTTTGGTAGTGATGGTGGGGTATTATGTATTGGATTTTGGGTATAATGATGATGGGAGGGCATGGTCTGTGAATACATTTACACAGTCGGTGAGTGAGAGGTTACCTGGCTTCAGCAGGCGTGACGTGAGAAAGACGTTGGTTGATTGATGGATGAAATAGAGACGAATGGTCGAAATGAAGGCACTAGGGGTGCCCATGCATGCTACCTACCTATGTAGAAGCAGATGGAAAAATGAAAAGGAAATCGCAGCAAAAAGCAAAAGGCGGATTCGAGGCTCGAGCCTTTAGACTTCAGCGAAGGTAAGCATGTCAGGGGGACAGGGCTATAAACCACTTGAACCTCCCGGACACTTTCTCTGTCGACTGATGATAATTATGAAGAGTTTTTGAATTATAGCCCACCTACGTTAGCCAAGCGGACACATTCGCACCAATCCTAGTGCTGTAACTGACTGCTGCTTGAGAACAACTTGAGGATTGATTAAGCACTGAATCAAAGTCACTTTAGTAAAAAAAGAATATGGTACCGTGTGCTCTGCTTTCTCACCATCAGTTAAGGTGCAGTGTACATGTGAGCGTGTCGGTGTAAGTGAGGTCACTGAATGAAAGTCATCTAGAATGCGCCTTATCGATAAATGCCCCTGCCGGTGTAAAGTCCGGGCGGGTCTCGCACCACTTTAGCAGTTCTTATCGGCGTGTTTGTTGGCGCCACGGTTCGCGATAAGGTAAGCTCCCGTCTCGCCCCATAGCGCACACCAACACGTCGCGTCGGCCGGACGCGTCAAAGAGCTCTTAATTGACTTTCACTCCACAACCACCACAACTACCTTATCGTTACTCAAACCTCATCTCTACTACAACACACTCTCCACGCATTTTTGATACCGGACTTGCGAGTACCTTGCAACTCGAGCAATTCCATTTTAGTCTTTCCATGTTTTGATACCCGACTTTGTGCCCTTCACAACCATAACCACAACTCACCATGGCTTCTGAGAAGGCCGCATCGCGCTCCCCCAGCGCGAGCCCCGCGCCGGAGACGATGAAGTCACGAATGGAAGCCCGTTTGGCTGCCGTTGACACGAGTTCCGAGGATGATGAATCCAGTCAACCCATCCGCAAGAGCAAATCACCACCACATGCCACCCAGGCCAGTGACTCGGAAGAAGAAGTCATTTTCCGACCCAGAGGACGGCTCGCTGCTCAGCTGAAGGGCGGCATCGAGCCTTCAGACGCAGAAGACGAGCCCGAGAGCTTCATGGACCGAATTCAGAGACGACTGGGATCCAAAAACGACGACGATTTAAACGAAGAGGAGGAGGATGCGACCATGGGAGACGCGGAAGAGGAGGAAGACGTCCCGGTAGCACCGCGGCGGCTACAGAGGAAGCAGGACAGACAATTCACGCCGCCGCCACCCCAGAGCCCAGCGGCGCGGTCGAGTCCCGGACTATTTGTGTCTCCGGATCGGCAGTCACCCATAAAACCTGCAAACGCGACAACCGCCGATGACGCCTCCGACTCGGACGCATCGCTCCCCTCCTTGACAAAGAACGCCAGGTTTCAGGCGCTCGTCGAGCGCAAGAAACAAGAGAGACTCGCGCGCGAGGCCGAGGAGGAGAAGAAGCGCGCCGAGCGACAGCAGCGCCAGCCGATCAGCGTCGTCGACCTCTTTGACGATGATGAAGACACCGGCAACGTTTCCGATATCACCGACGACGAGGGCGGCCGGAAGCTCAGCCAGGCCGCTAGGCCCACGAGGAAAGCTGGGAAGAAAGCAGTCGAGGAGATGGCTCGTGAGACGCAGCGCATGGCTCGTAACATGCAGCTTGCCCACGAGGCCAAGACGAGGAAGAAGTTCACGAAGGCGGATTTTCTCCAACGATTCAACTTTGGAGCTCAACCCAAGTCTGATCCCAAGTTGTCGAGCTCGAGTCGCCCTACCACGCCTGTCTCGGCGCACCAGACTGACGCTGAGATGAAGGAAGCCGAGACGCCGCCCAGCTCTCCGCCCGTCGCCAAGACTACCTCTCCTGCCAAGCTCGAAGAGCCCACGACTATTGCGCAGCCCATTGTTGACTCCGATGACAATGGTGACATGTCTCCCCTTGACGACGTGTTCGAGCTATCGAGAAGAGTTGACAAGGGTAAGGGCAGGGCCGTTACGTCTCCCAAGGAGACTCTTATCAGCGAGGTCAAGCCTCGTCGTCACGTTCGCATCAAGCTGCCAGCAGTGTTAGTAAGCCATGCAGTCATCGACCTTGATGACGACGATGAAATGGCCATCGGCAGCGGGAAGAACAGCAAACTCGATGCCATCTTTAATAGAGCCCCTAAGAACAAGGCCCAGGGATCTCGATCTCTGCTTGCCCTGCGCCGCCTCGCTCGGGTGGGCTCACCGACCAAGGAGAGGAAGAGGAAGTATGAAAAGGCAACGATCACCACGGGCCAACTACAGATGTCTCTGCAACAACGGGCCCGCCAGCAGGCTAAAATGGAGCGCGAAAAGCGACTTGAGTACCTCAAGTCAAAGGGCGTCGTTGTGCAGACCGCCGAGGAGCGTGAGCGCGAGATGCAAGAAGTCGAGGACATCGTTTCCCGAGCTAGGAGGGAAGCCGAGGAGATCATGGAGCGTGAGAGAGAAGCTGCCAAGGAGGAGAAAAGGGAGAAGAGGAAGAATGGCGAGCTCGATGTATGGGATGATAGTGACGACGAGTCCTGGGACGGTTCCGAAGAGGAGGTGGAGGGAGGCGTCGAGATCGAGGTTGAGCTGTCTGGCTCTGACGACGAGGGTGCCGATGTGGACGAAGACGTCTCGGAGCCAGAGATGGAAGGCGCTGCGCTGTTCGACAATGAAGCTGACGACAGCGGCTCAGAGCACCCCGAAGCCGAGGCGGAGGTCTCAGAAGTCGAGAATGATCCAGAGTCTGAAGACGACATGGGTCTTCCTACGCGCAACATCCGTCGATCGAAGAAAAGCCAAGTCATCTCAGACGATGAAGACGAGGACAGGATCGAGGCGACGCCTAGACCCAGAACTGCAACTCAACAATCACCCATTGCGCCTAACACCAAGTCGCCCGCCGTTCCAACCTCGGTTCTGCGCTCTGCAAAGAAGACATTCATCCCCGGTCTACCTGTTACAGGAGCCGCTGGGCTCGGCCTCACCCAGATTTTCGCTGGTACAATGGATGACAGCCAGGCAGTTCCTGGCACGATCCCCTCTCAATCCCCCATGCCGGATTTCGACAGCCTTCCCGACTCCAACTTGATGGGTCTGACTCAACACCACGACAGCTTGGTTCTCGACAGCCAGAGCGGCGACACCCAAAGGGCCGAGACGCAGCCGGATTCCGCCGAGGGCGTTCACCTGCACTTTACTCAATCCCAGGCGCGTGGATTTGACAGCTTTTTGCGTGACGACGAGCCGTTTACGCAGATTTCTATGGATGCCACTCAGGATGCAGGCCCGCAAGACTACACACCGCTGAAGCAGCGCTTCGTCGATCCGCCCCCTTCGACCGTGGATACTATGGTCCTCGAAAGGGATGCCGAGGTTGACTCAGTACAGGAGTCACCTCTCGTTCGCAGGGGCAAATTGCGCCGCAAGATTGACGTTGCAGCTACTGTCGTGGATGACGAAGATAATGAGGAGTCCAGGGCCAGCCCAGAGGTAGATGAATTTGGCTTTCAGACGACGGCCTTCAACGTCATGAAGGAGGCCGTCAAGAAGCAGAAACAGCTCAAGAAGGCAGAGGAGTACAACCGCAAGAAGAGCAAGGCCAAGGAGATGGTGGAGGAACAGGCCGACGAGTCTGAGGACGAATATGCAGGTCTGGGAGGTGTAGATGGCGAAGACAGCGACGACGACGATGATGCTGCCTCCGTCAAAGAGATGATTGACGATGAGAACGGCATGACTGCCGACGATGAGCGCAAACTTGCTGCTCTTCACGCGTAAGTAGTTCTCCGCTTGGGGTAGAACGTTCTCGACTAACATGGTTCCCAGTGATAATGAGCGTCAGAGCGACGAGAAGATGGTAGACAAGCTCTTCCATGACATCACAACCGGTATGCTTCGCCGCAAGCGCGGCGCCGACTACGACCTCTCAGACTCGGACGACGGCGGCGAGGCCCGTCGACGGTTGAAGCGTCGGCAGTTCCAGAAGATGCAGCAGGCCCTCTTTGCCGACGAGCGCATCAAGAAGATTGCCGAGAAACCCGGAAACCAAGCCTTCCTGCGCACCATCGAGGACCGTGGCAGCGACGAGGAGATGGACTTCCTCGACTTCGCGCCCGAGCCGATGGAGACGGAGGCCTCGCAGTCCCAGGAGCAGCAGCAGACCGTACCGGACAGCCAGCCCGCGGCGCAACGTCCACCTCTCGCCTCCAACGCCACGAACGTGCCGTCTGCCGCCAACGCGCGTAGGACAAAGGACGGCAAGAAGCCTTCCAACCTGGGGGAGATTCGCGAGTCCGTCTCCAGTCTGCTCGAGGACTTCAACGAGGTGGTTCCGGCTACGGACCCGCACTCGGACAGCGAGGCGGACGACGAGGAGGGGCACCCGTCGACGTCGCCGCGCCGCGGGGGTAACAAGGAGAACCGTTCGCCCGGCAAGAACCCGCGCCGCACGAACTCGCGCCAGGTCGTCGTTGACCGGCTCACCATGAAACGCCAGTCGTCCTCCAACATGTCGACAACGTCCGCCAAGCTCGCCTTTGCGATGCCCAACGCCGCCGGGTCGGCTGTTGGCCCCTCGGGCGGCGGCGGCGGCGGCAGCAGCTTCAGGGTTCCTGCGCTGCTCCGGCGCGCGACGACGAACTCGTCCGTGTTGAGTTCGCAGGGTAGCGGTGGCAGCGTCGGCGGTATCCGCGGCAGTGAAGCCAGCAACGGAGCCGTGTCTTTCTCTGCCCGCGGCGGTGGCGGCGGTGGTTTCGGCGACGACGGCAAGATCAAAAAGAACGCGAGCAAAAAGTCTGGCGTGAGCGCTTTGGCGAGAGAGAATGAGCGCCGCGCGGCGATCCAGGAGAATGAGAAGCGGAGGGAGGCGAGGAAGTGGAAGGGTGCTGAGAGGAGGCACCAGGCCGTGAATGGGCTCTTTGGGTCGGGCAAGTTTGAGTAAGGGAGATGTTTGTGTGTGACGGTGATGTCATTACTGCGCTGCGGATTTACTCGCCGCCTAGGAGTTTTGAATGATGGTCTTGAGATGAAATGATGGACTGGGATAGAAAAGCCATGGATGGGGTTTGGGGCTGCGATTGGAGTCTGGGTATGGGATCATGGTTTTGGCGTTGTCCCATGTTCTTGATCGGGTCACTTTAGGAGTTGCACATTTACAATGGAATGCCATAAGTGTGTGTACACCCCGCCATCCCCCAGGCCAAGATGCAGTGTCTTATTGAGTCTTTACCGCGCTGCCCCGGGGTAGTGATTAGAACACAGAGGTGGTGTATATTATGCTAAATAGTAAAGTTTGGGCTTTTTTTAAATTATATTTTGGTTATGTACATCTTAAATTTGGTTGTGTTGTGGCTGGTTAAAGTGTGAAGGCGAAAATGCAAGAGTTGGGCAATGGTGGGGTGTACACAGACTCATGGCCTTCAAGCTCTTTGCGGCCTCAATGACGTTTATCGATTGAGGTTCCATAGTATCCATCATTGACAGTCATAATTTCGCTGTGGTGGCTTTTGTAGCGTCGAAACAGATGACCATTTCACTCGTCACTTTTGGCCATCTTGCTTTCATTCCTATCCGTGTTCCAGACCGCCGATTTGGTGAAACACGGTCGATTCAAGTCTCGATGACTTGGATGGTGCGTCCCTCGCATATCTCGTTCATCAACCGTGTCGCATCCTTCGTTGGGTCTGCAAACTACGACTTCCCTGTTTAGGCAACAAGAATCCTTCGAGGAAAAGAAAAGGCAGGCTATAAGATTCGAGACTGGATAAGGCGGAGAGATGCTGATAGGAGCCCCAGTCCACCCCGCGCTCGACTAAAAGTTGGGCGCTGCGGGAACTCCTCCTCCAACGGGAAGCAGACATTCAACCTCGCGGGCGTTTGGGCCATGCACCCTTGCCGACCAGCCGGGGAATATGGACCTTTTGGAATGTCGTCAGCTGGCCCTTGTCAAGACATCCGCCGATCGGATTCGGTGTTGTCCGGCTTGCATGGTCGACCACCGGAGCTGGCACTTCCGCGGAAAATCCGAAACCCGGGAGCCTTTGGACTTATTAACGGTAGCCCGCCGCAGTCTTACAGAGAGCGTTCACTCGGTCGAATGTAGCGGTTTCGCGGTTGGTTGTAGATTGCCTCACATTTAATCCCCTTTTCCAAGCGCCCTGTGCCGGCCGACCAAGTTGCAGCCATGTCGACGACGGCGACCATCACCGCCACCACGACGAAGAGCGAAAAGCAGCATGGCCAAGCACCAGACCTGTCCAAATACCCCAAGCTGACACGAGAGCAGGCGGGACACCTACGCCACTTCCACAACCTGGTCACGCAGCCCGACAATGACTGGAACTTGATGGGATCGCAGGAGCCGCTGCAGGAGTTCCTCGACGCGTACCGGTACCAGCTCGCGACGATCGCCTACGCCGCAGGGCTCGCGCACTACCACCGGCAGCCGGCCCTACGCAGCGTCTACAAGAGGCTCATCCGCCAGACGATCCACAAGATGCTCCTGCGTGCCGTGTGGGCGTACTGGTTCAACACGAGCATGTCGGGGATCGCCACCGATCCGGATCTGAAGGAGCTGAGGAAGCCATGGGCTGACCCGGTCGTCAAGGAGAATATCATGTACAGCGGTCATTTGCTTATGATGGTCGCGTTGTACGGCATGCTGTTTGACGACGACGAGTTTGAGAAGCGGGGTTCGTTGGAGTTTTCGTGGAATCCCCTCTTCTTCGGCATGGGCCCGGAGACGTTTTCGTATAATGCGGAGAGCTTGCAGGCTGCCATCCTAAAGGAGATGGAGGGGAACGGCTGGGCTGGAGTCTGCTGCGAGCCCAACTGCGTGTTCGTGGTCTGCAACCAGTTTCCGGTGAATACCCCTGCCCGGGGGAGGAGGTCATTGACGGTGCGGCAAGTATGAACTGACAACCATGCAGCTGATCGGGGTGCGCCTGAGGGACGCTCGCCTGGGCACATCGGTTATAGAAGAGGTCCTGTACAAGTACAAAGCTGCCTGGGACAAGAAAGGGCTGGTCGGGTCCGATGGCTTGCTGGCGGATGTGTGGTTCGTCAAGCAGGACCGCACCGTTCGCGCCAAAGACCTTGGTTGGACGGCGTGGGGCTCGGCCTTTATGAACGCCTGGAACGGCGCCCTGGTGAGGTCTCACTACGACGAGCAAGCTCTCGGATACATTACGAACATCGGAGGTCAAGTGCGTCTGAACCCGCCTGCCGTCGGCAACGAGTTCAGGAGGCTGGTCACCGAGGACGGCGCGTCCCCCGACTCTCGCGAGACGTTCCAGGCGGCCGTCCGAAACGCAAAGGAGGTTGAGCCGGGCAAGAAGCCTCGCTTTCCCTACACGAAGCCAACGCTTGGGTACATCATCAAGTGGCTCTCGGAGCTGGGAAAAGACGCCGAGCTGACGGGCTTGCTCGACTACGCGGACAAGCGGCTGAAGCCTACCTGGGAGCGCGGCGGACTGTACTACCCCCGCAACGACCAGCCGTTTGACGAGGAGATGAACTGGACGCACATGGACCCCTTTTCCGGCAACGCGGCGATCGGCTATGCGCGGCTCAATGTCGAGGACGGGCAAAAGATTATCTGGGAGCGTCCCTGGACCGCGCAAGAGGTTGCGGCGCGGCCGTTTGTTGACGCGGTCACGCTGGGCGACGGCGTCGACTTCTTGCGCGGCGATTGGAGCGAGGAGGAGAAGACGCTGGTGCTCACTGTGCGGTCGTGGGATGGTTCGACGAGGACCATCAGGCCTGCTCTCAGGAACTTGGGGCCTGGGACGTGGAAGGTGTTTATTGACGGTCAATTTAGGTTGTCACGTGCGCTTTCGGCGGGAGAGGATATTGATTTGGAAGTTCAAGTTGGGTGGAGGGATCTTGATATTGTCGCTGTCAAGCAGCTTTGAGATGGCAGTTGCAGCTCTGTCATATGATTGATAAGACCACCGTCCGAAGATAAAGATGTTGCGCCATTTGGGTGTATAAACACCCGGAGCAGTAGCAGTTGCAAGCATCCCCCAGGTTTACGTTTCTGCATTGAAGCAAGTTCCGTCAGTAAGTACACGTTCGGTGAAGTGTGTAGGTGACCTATTGTGGATATTAAGAGGCCAACGCATATCCGCGAGCGGTCTTCCAAGGCCGAATACGCTAGCATTATTTCCACCAGTGGGTCGTACCATTCGGAACACATGTAGTTATTATGGGATACTCCTCACTGCTCACGTCATCGGAGCACGCTTGGGCGATGCATGGGTGCTGCTCGTCTTTGGGGCAGTTCGACGACTACGGCATAGAAAGTTAGCTTCAACAAGATCATCACTTCTAGAAAAAAAATAGAGGAGAAGAAGCAAGGAAATCAGGATGAAAGAGGTGAAAGAGGAGTGAAGGATGTAATCGTGCTTGGCGGGGTGGCTTACGCCTCCAGCCGGGTGCGGGACCTGTCTGCTTTCTCATCGCATCCAGCCTAAGGCTGAACTGCTATAAAGAGCGATATGAGCAAGGATAGATAGTTACAATTTGAGACCGAGAATGCAAAGCTTCCAAATTTCGAGATGGTTTGGAGGCTTTAGTGATTAAGCCTATCGCGTCTTAGAGACGGAATGTTTAAATGAGTCTTGGGCTAGGGAAGTGAGATGAAGCACGCTGGTACCGCTCCAATCGTGGATACATCTCATCCGCCAAGCCAAGTTCTCACTATCGATGGCTTAAACTGCAGTCGGTTTCATGAGATGATCATTAAGCACGTTTGCAATTGAAAGGTAAAAGTATTTAATAGACGGAACTTTGTAAGTGAGTGCTGAACCCTAACTTCCTGCTTCTTCCAAACCAGCAGGTGTTGGATCCTGTCCCTTGGCTGCATTACCAGCACACATATAGAGGAAGTTGGATTTGGGTTGGAATGAAATCTAACCTAATGCTTCAAGATCATCTAACTGAACTCGGCGAGCCGCGGCATTAAGGCCCCGAAATGACTTTGTCTTGTGTCATGGCTAATTACATGTCATGGCACAAAGACATGGGCTAGACTTCCAAGTTGCAAGTGAATTCCGGAAGGAGACGGATGGTTTGCGGCTCATGTCCGGCTGATGTTGCGCACAAAAAGCCTCTGTTCCTCGGGATTGTATACAGGAAGGAATCGGACCTCGATACCTGTTGGTGAGCCCGCGACTACTGTCACGTTCAGTATCACACGAAAGTTTGGAGCCATTCTGCCTAGGCTAAGCATCCAGCAATTTCTTCCAACTCTGGGTTTGTTTACAGCAGCAGTGTTGGGATAGAAATTGCGGACGCCTCAGGGATTTTCAGACTCGAGTTGAGTCCCTGACGTTAAAATAGCATTGCCTGAGTCTATCAAAACCATCTGGCACTAAACCTCCAACGCATGTCTGTCATCTTCGGCTGTATCAATTCAATTCGCGTTGGTACAGAGTCTTACTCATCCTAAACGCTGTGCTACCATTTGGTGGTCGTGGCCTTGCAAAAAAGGATTGGCAACACTACGCGGATTATTGGATCGGAACGATATCGTGGTGTGCAGAGAGGTTATGCTGGACCATGTCATCGAGGTCGACGAGTCCGAAGTGCTTGTGTTCCGATCCTCTTCGCGGCTACTGCTGATTCATGGTTGCGATTGAGCGTTACCGCCATGCACGCTAGGTCCCATGCGTGATGTGGCCCATTTTTGGTGCCTCTGAGTTTGCGGACGGTTGTCGAGCTTCCCGGCAGTCGGAGGAAGAATTCGCCCAGCAATTTGCCGACGCCGACGGAAAGTATTACGGTTTCACTGCGACGTTATTTCAAGGGGCTAAGAGGATAACGTCTGTTTACACCATTGGATATTATGAGTAGCCCGACCATAAGACAAACCTCTCAATAGAGGGATAGTGTTTCTGAGTTTTAGATATGTCGGTCAAATAGTCGGGGTAAGTACTATGTATCGCTCGTTGAAAATCTCTAGTGCACCGCAACACTACGTCGTGACTGATATCGTCCTCGCTACCGTCGTCTTCATCGTTATTGTAACCGTCGTCGTCATTCATACCGTTCGTAACATCAACATCTACCATGAAGAATACACTTCGCCTGGACGGCGACGGGTTAGGACGGGCGACTGGTATCACGGTCGGAGCGGCAGTTGGTCATGTTCGCAAGAATAGTCGCAAACCGGGCAGTACCAGGTGTGGAGAGGAACGCGCAGCCCTGTCAGAGCTGAAGCAGACGGAGTCGCCTACAATAGAAGTCCGTAAAACGGCTTAGAGACGTCGATCTACCGTTTCCCAGACGAGACGGGCTGTCAGGAGGGTCCTGGAGCCGCGGTAGCTGGTATCGCCGCCTCACACCAACAATTATATGCTCCTCGTTGTCAGCGAGCAGCCTGTCTCTATCAACAACCAAAGTCCTAGCTTCTTCATCATCGCGTGAATGTAAAAAACACTCCTCAAGCGTTGTATTGACTCTGTGCCTTGATCGCCTCACCAATGTTGATCCAGTCGAGCTTGTGTCCCTCAGTCAGCCCCTAGACAACCAAGACGTTGACGCCGTGCTAACTCGGCCAGCTCGGTATCCCCAAAGGGGTCAAACTTACCAAAACGACGTTCGGCGTTCGTCCCCACATCCCTCTGCACAAGTCGACCTGCTTGTCGATGGAAGACAAGGAGTTCGTCGTTGGTGCCTCGATTTGGTTAGGAATCTTGATGCCTGCAAACAGCTCAATGTCGAGAAAATGGTTGACAAGATACATGTATCCATTCGGGTCGAGGCCCTGTGGCCGGTCGATGTTGCAATTGGGAAAATCTGCGTTAGTCTCCCCGAAAGGAGTCTCCCAGTAGTACTGGAACTCGTCGAGGATGTAGTCGACTTTGCTCGTGTCGGCATGATAGTCTGTCGTACTCAGTCACTGCTGACGAGTTGGAAGAGGCGGTGGAAAACATACCCATGAAAACGACCAGTCTTGTCCCGTCATCAACCAGAGCCTCAAGTGTAGGCCACTGATCTATAGCCACTTTCTCCTGAGGCTTGAAGACGTATTTATCCAACCCCGTACTCTTGAAGGTGTCGCCGAACTGCGTGACTGGCATTGCGTCAATGTTGGTCAGAAGCAAGGTGACCACTTCCCGCGGATGCGCCTCCATCCACGTGGTAATCTCGTCGAGATATTTGGATAGGGGCCCCGAATCTAATAGAGCGCAGTCCGTATGGCACATTTGGATCTGTCCGTCCTTGTTCTGGGTCTGAGCTTGCAGGAAGCGTACGCCGAGATTAAGCTGGTCCGTTACTGATGCATATTGATTATGTGCTGGCGTGATGCCGACAAAGGCACTGTTGTGGGATCCGACGAACGTCACGTCTGAATACTTCTTCCCACAGAGAGCGTCATTGCCGTTACAGGCCGCTGCGGCGGCAACGCCCACAAAGACCGGCAGAGAGTAAGCAACGCGCATAGTGAAAAGGCAGCGAAAGAAGGCGATGGAGAAATCAGGATCACCATTTTATTGAAGTTCCGAAGAGCGCTTATATAAATCGATGCAATCGAGACCACCAGATTTTCAGCCGTCAGGGGCCTGGCGATAGCTTAAAGTGACATCTCGGACGGGCTGGCGAATCAAATGTCATATTGGACAAATGCCAACACTCTGGACGAGGACATTGGGAGGCCAGCGCACCAAATCTGGAAGTGCCTGTTGATCTCGAGCTGAATGACCCTCGTACTGGAACGGTCCGACATGTGAGCGATGGCACCCAAGAGCTATGTCTCTGCGGGCTGTCGCCATTGAAATGAGTGGTCGTGTTCGTGTGATTGGGTCATGGTGTATATGCTGGGGATCAGGCAGGTGGGGATTAAGACGGAACGGAACTCTGGAAGGCTGGAGATGCCTGTCTAGACGGGCAGCTTTGCCACATCCATCGACCCTTCGGTAGGATTGGCTTCTGCGAGGTGCAGCGCCACATGCTCACCTGTAGAGCGGCACTTGGGGTTGTCGTCAGAACGTGGGAACGGGAGGTGAGGGGAATAGGAATAGACATATCGCTTTCTTGGCAACGGGATGTAATCGACATGTTCGGCATCCTGAGGCTTCGAGGGCTTTCTCGGTCAACAATGCTTGGTCCGTTGCGACCCATGACTGCCAACCTCATGCGCCACACCTCTGTTGTTGGAGAACATTGCTGTTGGAGAAGATGGATTGGCTACCGTGAAGAGAGGTCAAGAGAAGACGCCTGCTCTGGCCGTTAAGTGAAACAGGGACGTTGGCGAATGACGGACTCGGGAGGCATCAAACTGAGGTGGGTGGGTGGCGGCAGTCATCAGGGCCCGGCAGGCGCAGAGGGGTGTAAGTGGCGCTAACGTCGGTAGTGGCAGGGGCCGTTCAGGGGAGGAAAATCTTGGTGGGCAGCTGGCATCTGCACTTGCTCACCTTATTCGCTGGGGCCGTCTGCAGCTGCACTTGGGCGCATTTTCGCGCATTTTCTCCTGCCCTCTTTGGCAATGTGGTCTTCTCCCAGGAACATCGTCACGAGAGACTTCGTTGCAACCAACTACAACCCTCGAGCTCGACGATGTCGGTCACTGCTTTCGTTGAGCATCGCATCCAACAATCACCTCTTTCGCACATGTGGTTTGTCTTCTTGCTGCAATTCGTCTACAAAGGCTATACAGCATTCTGACTGTTTTGCGGCCATGTTCACGATGCTCCCTGCTTAGTGGTGACTGTCTCCAATCGATGGGGCCGCATGGACTTTGCCCAAAAGTCCTTTACATCTGGTAATGACTCCAGCTTCATGGCAGTCTGAAGTTGAGAGGAACGTCACTCTTGGCGGACAGACATTGACAACGAGACGAGCCACACGAGTTTGTCGTCCAGGCGCCTGTCCACAAGCATATACGGCACACCCACAACAAGATCTCCTCTGGTATGATGCTCCAACGTAACAGCATCTGGACGAGGATCCTTATGCAGCGTTGAATCTTTGGAATCCCTACCGGATTTCGACCAGGGTTTCGTTCAATTAACCAGCAGGCTCATCACTTTCGTCAGGAATCGTCGCAACTGATACAGAATTTGCGCCATCTATCCCTTCACCACTCATGTATCCGTCTCATTGAAGTTATCTGGAGGCGTACCACTTTTCGTACTTTGGACGAATCCAAGACAAGCAACATTACGGGCTGACCTTGAATCTTGACAATGAGATGCTTACAACTGCTCGAAAGGCCCCTTCGTTTTATTTGTCTCTGCAAGCAATCCACCGGTGGACCCGCCCTAACCGATAGCTCCGTTTGCTTATGAAAAAGGCCAGGCAACCTTAAGAAGCTTCCGGCAGTAGCCTTCCTAAGAATGGCCATTTCAGGGCATTTTGCCTCGGTCGCCACTTGTCCCTGGTCCTTGCAAGATTTTTGGTCAGGCTACCCTGATAATCGTCAACCATGTCGACCCGGACTTTGGGGTTCAAGGCACGCGTACGTACATCATTACGAACGCCCGGAATCCAACAATCTGGTCTCCCCTCTTGATACTGCGAGCTTGGAGAAAAATTTGTACCTGAAGACTCGGGCCGGGTTTGAAGCAATAAGCACAGTCTGGTTGACGAAACTCATGCACAAATTGCCAAATAATCACACTGACCGATAGGAAGCCTCAACTCTGGTGAAATATGACGGAGATACCGTCTCGACACCGAAAGTGAAGATGCGATGCTGCCGCGAAGGAGTTCACAGATCAGCTTCGTTTCCAAACCCGACAACCGTGCAGCCATGACAATTCTTGAGACAAGCCAGATGGAACCGCCCCATGACCACCAGGTCGAGGCCTGGGGATCACCAAAACAAACAAACTCAGATTGCGACCCATCGAGGCTGCAGATTTCTCACATGTGTCGCAAAAGGGAGCTAGGCAGTCTGCACAGCCCTCAGAACAAGCATATCCGCCGATCGACGTCACCCCCTTTTGGTTATGCTTGCCTTCTCGCGCGCGGATTTACCGGCAGATCCCCCTCACGCCTTCAACTACCCACCATGCCACCTCACCCAACCCCTCGTCGGTTAAACTGCGCAAAGGGGGAAACAACCGTGCGCATCGCGACGAAACATGGAATTGCCCCGACGTCCGAGTTCGTGTCTCTTTTGCCTACATAGTAGAGTTTCGCCAAGGACTGTCAATCGGCTCGTCGAAGGCTTGTCGTCACTCGAGTCGAGACGGCATCCCATTGCCGACCTTTCATCCCGCCTACTACTTCTGCCAAGCATTGTCAGCGGCCGCCTGGAAATGTCACAACGTCACGTCGTTCACGTCTCTTGATGACGGTTCGAAGTTTGTCGTGAACTATCCTCTACTCAAGATCCCGCCACCTCGGACGTTGGAATCTAACTTCGGTGAGTATCAACTCAGCTCCTTATGGAAAAGGGACCACAATCTAAGGCTATCCGTCTTCTTTCCGAAGACCGAAACGATAGTGGAGTCTTGCCTACCTCAGAATATTTGCCCAAGGTACTCTCAACTTCTACCTGATGTGTCTTCGGTCTCTGAGTGGAACCCGGCCGCGGTGAGTCGAGCTGTGTCGAGCTGTGTCGAGGGATCCGGGGCCCTTACCCAAGAAGGCATGGTGGCATGGCCTCGCCGCTCTCCTGTACTCAGAGTATGGACACCTGAGGGGCGCCTACTTGCCTCCCGGAGCTTCCTGAACACGAATGGAGACGCTTTGCTCGCGAATCTCGTGGTGTTTGGCCCAGTCTCAACCTCCCTCGGAATCACTCAGCGGCGTATCTGGCCCAAGCTCGCTGGCCTTGGCCAGCAACCTCACACGCCTCGTGTTTGAAGATCTACACCATCCTAGCGTCGTTCTCAAATCTTTTGCTGTGCGACATGGGATGGCCCTTGTTATTCCCAGGAACGCTCCCGCCGCTAAACCTTGTCCGACATCATCGTCGCCCTCATCGACGCCGAGCCCCAAACGACCGTGGAGACTCCTTGGCCTTGCTCCTGAAGAGAGCCTCCTCCCTTCCCCACAACCATGATTTTCAAAGATCTACCAATCGGGACCAAGATCACCAACAGCTTGTTCCTGCATAATCCATTTTGGCCGTCTTTGCCGAAGAAACTGGACTCGGTCTAACTCCTTGCGCGTGGCGTTTCTCTCTCTCTCTCTCTCGCCTGGTCATCGCTCAGGACCCGCAAACCCCTTCGAAACGATCACAAACCAATCGCATCTTTCCAAAGCTCTTCTTTGCTGGTGCACACAGCCTGTGTCGTCCAGTCGTCAGATCAATGCTTCAACTGATCTTTCGTGAGAAGTCAGCGGCAAGATGCTTCACTCAGGAGAGCGCAACGATCACAACCCCTGGCCTTGGGAACTGGGCCCCTAGCTTGCCAAGCCCCATCAAATGTCTCCCAAGACTGACTGCCCATGACCTGTCATCCAGAGTATCGATAAGTTCGTATAAGAATCACTCGCATGTCCGGTCAAACTTTCATCTTTTCCCTTCTCATCAGCATCTCATCTTCACTTCAGCCTTCTTTCATCTGCCTTTCTTTCCGACACGAGCCCGGAGCTCCTACACGGCCCTTTACGCTTTAATAGTACACATTCTTAAGTTCTATTCAACTTTCACCAATCTTTTCAACCGCCAAAATGAAGTACGGCTCAGCTCTCCTCCTCGCGGCTTTCGCTGCCACCAACGTCTTTGCCCACGGTGTCATCGACAGTGTTCAGGGTGCCAACGGTGTCAATCTTCCCGGTCTCTCTTGTAAGTAACACAAACTTCACTCCACGCAAGTGCCTTGACTGACAGCATCTAGTGATCGATGCCACTCCCCGTGACTGCGCCTCTCCCCGCTGCGGCTCCGAGGCCGATACCTCCATCATTCGTGACCGCGAGCTCGGCACCGGCAGGGCTTCCGCTCTTGGCCGCACTCAGGGTGGTGGTCCCGTCGATGCCGCCGCCATGATGCAGACCTTCATGAACGGTGCTGCCGGCAACACGACCGCCACCAAGGCCGCTCGTGAGATTCATGAGGCCAACCTCGCCCGCCGCTACGCCAACGTTGCTGCCCGCCAGGCTGGCAAGGGCACCAAGACCCCCAAGGGCACCGTCGAGACTGGTGTCAAGGCCGCCACCGGTATGGCTGCCCAGCAGGGCATGCCCACCACCGCCGATGACGGCACCATCTCCATGACTTTCCACCAGGTCAACCAGGACGGTGCCGGTCCCCTCACGGCTGACATCGATGGCACCTCCGGCGGCACCGATCCTTCTGCTTTCAAGTCCGCCGAGGTCACCCAGAACGTCCCCGGCATCGGTATTGGTGGTCTGTCCGGCGCCTCCGTCATGGACTTCCCAGTCAAGGTCCAGATGCCCGCTGGCATGACCTGTGACGCCACTGTCGGTGGCGCCAGCAACGTCTGCGTCGCCCGCCTGCGCAATGCCGCCCTTGCCGGTCCCTTTGGT